ACCATAGTCAACAAAAATAAAAACAGGCATACATCATACCATGTCATACCATCCCCCAAGACGGGCACATCTAACATCCTGGCCTGAATACCTGGGGGGAAAATAGATTTTTAATGCCTTACAAAAGGCTAGCAGAGTGGGGGGCAATTGAATCATAGAGAGGAGATCATTCTAGAGAGTGGACATGCTGGAAAGGCACACTTCTTAGGCCCAGCCAGATGATATTGGTGCAGATAAGGGACCTGGAGCATGCCCAGCCTGGAGCAGCATGTGGGATGGGACAATCTAAGCAGTGATAGGCAATCCTGCCAATAACCCAGTTCTATGCCACATAGGGCTTTGTAGGGGATAACCAGTCCCTTGAATTGGACCCAGAAGCCTTGGGGTACCCAGTATAGTGAGTTCCAGTGAAAATGGGGCACTACCTTCAAAACCAGTGTCGTCCACTCAAGTGAGAATTAGGCTCAGGCACAGTGAGCAGCTGTACTGTGTTTCATTCGAGATACAAATGGCCAGCCTCAAATTATCTTACTTCGGACACATTATGTGAAGACCCCGCTCTCTGGAAAAGGCTCTAATGCTGGGAAAGGTGGAAGGAAAGAGAAAAAGAGGACAACCAGCAGCAAGGTGGACGGACTCAGTTATAGTGGCGATGGGGGCATTGTTGGGAGACCTGAAGGACCAGGTTAGGGATAGATCATCATGGAGAAACTCTATCTCTGTGGTTGTTAAGAGTCGACAATGACTTGATGGCACATAATTAATCATCAGTCGAATTGGATATTTCCGCAGTTTTGAGAAGTTAAAGAAACAGTTCTAGAACTGAAGGACTGATTTTATATATTGCTTTACAACTGGTGCAGTGCATAAAGGATGGGCTTGCATCATGACAATCAAACCTCATGAACACTCAGCACAGCAGTAGTTGAATCACTGTGCAAAAACATCTATCCTTTGACTCATAATCAGTCACATTATCTGACGGCAGTGAAATGAGTCCGTTTGACATTTGTTTGTGTCAATTGGTGTGCTAGCAGTTGAGTCACAGATCTCTCTCTATGTGTATGTCCGTACAGTATGGTTGAAGAAGAACTCATGAAATCCTAAAGTTAAAGTTACATGTCAGTGACTTGGTATGAAGGATGGGAAGAACTGATAGGGGCTTCTGTTGATGCTTTATCCTGGATTGTGTTTTTCTTCTTTCTTGCAACCGCTGTAGAAAATATGGAATCTGGGATTATTGCCTTTTTCTTTTTTTTTTAACTTGCTGTGAAATTTAAATGGAAGCATGCCCTCTTGGGACATGAGAGGGACGATCTGCTTAGAAATTAGAGAGGGGCACTGAGTTACTGTATATTATAGCAAATAATCCTTGTTCATGGTTGAATCAAATTATTTAGTGGGCCAGATTATTATATCAATTGCCTTCACATTCCTGGAATCAAAAGAAAGTAATATTCAGCTAATGCTAATTGCAGTGCTAAATACTACGAAATAAATGGAATACATTTAATTCTATGGGACAGACCTATCTATATGTAGGGCTTTTAATTGTTTTAAATTCAATGATAATGTCCCATTTAGTCCTAATTTTCACACATACTCATACACATATGTGTACACACAGTGTCCAATGTCTATCAAAAAAAACTTGAGCTTAGAGTTTGGGGGGGTTGAATCATCAGCAGAGTAGGACACAACTGTTAGGGTTGGGCAAAGCCACCTGTAGAAAAGCCACAACTTTAACGCTGTCAAGCAAAACCTAATTTCTAAAACAGGATTCAGAGGTTTGGTAGAGTTTTGGATGGTTTCATAAAGCATCCTTGCCCCTCACCCAGACTGACCAGTAATTCAATGGGCAGACTGTTGTCCATCTTGCCGCCATGTGATCCGATGACTTGATTCCCTGTCTTCTGACAGGTCAAGCTATTTGCTTCGTAAGCACTTTTTCTGCTATGTGCCATATTTCTGGTTGTGAAACTCTTTTTTTAATATAATTTTTATTAAGAATTTTAATAAAAATTATTAAATTTTACTAGTTTTAATAGTAAAAACTAATACAAACTAAACTTAGAGAAAAAGAAGAGAATAGAAAAAAAGAATAAAAAGTGCAGGAAAAAAGAAAAAGAAAGAATATAATAAGGAAAAAGAAAAATATATAAAGAAGTGACTTCCAACCTTCATCACAACAGGTATAAACAAATTTAGTAACTCCTCG